GGGAGGTCAAAGAGCCCCTGGGAAAGAGCGACTTTGAGGCAAGCCTGGGATGACGTCAGGGTCTCCAGGCAAACAGGAGGGGAGGAGCTGTGAGGGCAGAGACAGGGCAAACAGGGCGGAGGCTGAGGTGGGAGGAGCTCTGCTACTCGTAGCCAGCTGCGGGCGGCCGGCGCCGGTCAGCTGAGGTCGGGTAGGTGACAGCGGTGCTTGAATCTGCCCGCCATGGGAACAGCTTTTGGTTCTTGAAGGGCTTAGGCAGGATCTTTCCAAATGAATAGAACTAGCTCTTCAGGATTTCTTGGACTTGCAACAAACACATCAGTGAGATGGAATATTAGAAGAATCGGTGGGAAAATCTTTGATGTCTCCTCTAAACACCCTTCTTGTCTCTCCTCCCGTTGGGTGCCTTCCTGAGCTGTTTTTCCGCTCAACCCAACAATTATGCCATCTCCCCCCCGCCCCCCACCGTGTCACTTCCTCCGGGAAGCCCTCCTTAACAATCTAGTCATCTACACATCCCCACAGCACAGCCCCAAGCATGCCGTGTGCACTGCTCCAGCATCACCGTGAGCATGTTTACAGGGTCAACCTTGCCCTCTTCCTTCAAACCACGGGGTAGAATTGGGGGCCTGGAGGGAACGGGGTAGAATTGGGGGCCTGGAGGGAACAGAAGTTGCAGAATCTTCAACTGCAAGTTGGCCTCCTTGCCCATCTCAAACAGCCTGGAGTTAGTGCTGCCACCTGCTGGCAGTAGCCTGAGTGGCCGGCGGGATGGAGTGCGCAGAAAGCGGATTGAGTATTTCTGGATGTTAACCTCATGATATCTAACTAGATGGAGGACCTGCCCAAGGGGCCCTGATGATGTGGGGGACAAACTTTGGCTGGGGACAGGAAGAAGGAACTGACTGTTGGTGGAACAGTTGCTCATGGATGAGGACACAGGCTTCAGCCCTGCAGGCCTGTTTCAATCTTGGTCGGGAGCCAGACCAGCAGGGGGCCCAGCTTGTTACCATGGGAGTCCAGGGCTATGTCCATACAGCTGAGGAGATGACCCCCCTCAGCTGGATGAGGAACCCAGGGAGCAGGGACCAGCCTCAGAGCCAAGTGTCCACTCATACCCCCTTTTCCGGAACAACTTGTTTTGCTCTAAAGCTTGGGACTTTGACCTGGGAGGTGTGTTTTCCTCCTGTTGGTCATCTGATGTCCTTCCTGCTCACCACCCTCCCTCACCACCCCCAGCAGAGCCCACGGAGTCCTTTCCCTTCCCCAGGTTCTTTAGGTAAGGGGGAGATCCTTGGCTGAGGGCGGTAGAACCTGTAACTCAGAGACTTGGGAGAGGCTGGGCTGCTCTTGGGGGGTCACTGGCTGTGTGTGTGGGGTCACAGCAGTGGTTTCCCTGTGCATCCTTTTTGGATCTCCCCTTCCTGGGTTTCTGCAACAACCAGGTCTTCTGAGGTTTCTTCTGTGTCCATCTAAACTCTTTGGCAAGACCCTTCCTTGTTGGGGGCACATATTGGTCTCTCCAGCTTCCTCCCTCCCCCTCTTCTCCTTTTGCCTCCTCCACCCCACACCCAAGGGAGATCATACACTCCAGACCCCTCTCCCACTGCCTGCTGGAGGTTTCTATCCCCAGGCACCCCAAACACCCAGGCGCACCTCGTCCTCATCACCACCTCCCGAAACATGCTCTCGCTTCTTCCAAGGCACTCTACAACTAACCACCAGGGCCGGAGGCAGAACCCCCACTTAGTGCCTCCCTGTCTCTCCACCACTGGCAGCTGGTCGCTGTGTTTCAGCCACCAGGTCCTGTCCCTGTCACCCAACAGAGCTCAAGGCCATTCCCACAGCAGTTCCCTCCTCCCAGGCCACAGGCTACTGTAGCAGCTCCCAGAGTCTCTCTCCAGTCTTGTCTTTAGAGTTTTTGATGTGATTTCTAATGAGGTGACATTGGCTTGTCACGAGTGCCAGATGTGCCTCTTTGTCATTCAGCATCTGTAAACACGGCCTCACGGTCCCTGCCAAAAGCCATTTCCACCCAGCGCCACACAGTTGACCCTTCACTGTCTCACCTGCTGTGTCTCCTTCCCCTCTGGGCCTTCTGTCTCTGCTCTGTACCTGTGAGCTGGCTTTTGTTCTCTTGTGTTTGTTTGTGTGCTTTATTTGTCTCCAGTGTGGGTAAACTCATTGGCATGTCTCGTTCTCTGCTGTATTTCACTTAACACAATACCCCTTAGTTCCATCTATGTTGTTGCAAATGGTAAGGTTTCATTTTTCACAAAAATATATACCTGCCTCTGAGTACAGGGGTCGTGTCTTCTTTACTCACTCATCTGCTCATGGGCACTTGGCTTGTTTCACTTCTTGGTTATTGTAAATGTGGCAGTGAACTTGGGGTGAATGCATATATATATTTAAAGATTTATTTATTTATGCCTACAGAACTGGGGTACAGGCCGGAGGTGCAGGGGCAGTGAGAGAATTCACCAGAGACAGAGTGGGGAGCAGAGCAGGCAGACTGATGAGGCACACTCCTGAGGGGAACAGGGTCAAGAGAGGTCTGCCGTGCCCTGTGGATCATTTCTGGTGCTGGGGATTGAACTTGCACTGAAGCATCTGTGACCTGTTGCCCCACTAGGGAGGGCTCAAACTCCTATTTTTAATTAGTGTTTTCATGGGCTTTGGATTAGGAAGTAGAGTGGAATAGCTCATCTTATGGCATTTCTCTCTTAAAATTTCGAGGGCCTGCATGTTATACCCATGTATAGTCCCACCAACAGTGTCCCTGTAGCCACATCCTCGCCTACACTTGTTGTTTGTGGTCTTTTGACTACACATTCTCACAGGTTTGCGGTGGCATCTCATTGTGGCTTTGGTTTGCATTTCCCTAATAACAAGAGATGAGGAGCCCCGGTGGTGGTCTGCTGGCCATCTGCAGGTCTTCGTGGGGCAGCATCGATTCAGATTCT